GTTCCCCGTGATTGACTGAGAGCCTATTCAGTCCCCAGCTGACTAAGATCCCAGACACAAGGACTCACCCTGCAATATTATTTGAAAAGAAGATACCGTTGTAAAAAAGTAAATTTGCATTTTCTTTTTTTAAAACAACGACATTTACTTCACCCATGAATCCTTGTGCAATCATTTTTGCAAGATATTCCTGACTGCAGCTAACAGCCAACTGCAGAGGCCAGTATATTATCATGCCAAGTGTATGGACATTGTTATGAGTGAAAATGGATCGTTTTGTAACTCGACCAAAAAACATGAATCTGTCCATTATTTAAATAGTTCAGTATTGTATGCAAGATAACAGGTATGTTTATGCATGGCAGTGACACTAATGGACATGATCTATTCGCAGTGGTGTATAGTAACGAAGTAGAAATACTTCGTTACTGTACTTAAGTCGTTTTTTTTGGATATCTGTACTTTACTTTACTATTTATATTTCTGTTGACTTTTACTTTTACTTCACTACATTTTGCAAAGAATACTGATACTTTTACTCCGATACATTTCCCCTGAAACCTTCGTTACTCGCTACAAAATCAAATCTATCTTTAGAAACAAAATGAATCATGAGACCAGCGTCGGGGACTGTGGTGGAACACAGACTGCAAGCTAGCAGGTTTGGTGAATCAGTGGTCCTAGCTTGCAAGTTAAATCATTGGTTAATCACGTTAATGCGCAAAACAAGTGCTCTCAAAGCCGCGGCGTTTTGATTCCCAGTGATGCCCAGGATGCTATATGCTATAGCTAGCGGGCAACTACATTAGTAGAATTCCACACAGGACGGGTGGGATGAGGAGAGGTGGATGGGTCAAACAAACACTGGTGTTTCCTCCAGGAGGCCGCAGTTTGTGCCGTGCGTGAAACGAGAAGCCAATGTTGATTTATTTGTGACGTAACTTCCGTACTTAAGCAACGCCACTTCCGTAGATATTTTAACGCAAACCACGATCTTTTCCTAAAACTAACTAAGTAGTTTCATCGCCTAAACCTTAGTTGTTTCCTGTGAAGATGGAAGTTTATTTTGGAAAGACAGTATGCATGTAACAAGAGAAAACAGACTCATGTTGCTGGACTTTTGCAGGAAAAACGCACGAAAAATGAGCAGTAACTTTTCGTAAGATATCAATAAAACCGGGATGAATTTATATCATTGTATAAAGAGAGTGACATGAGAAGATCAATCTCATGTCTGTAAGTTAAATCAGCTATAATCACTCTTTTAAAGTGATTAGTGACTCGTCTAAAACATTTAAAAAAGGAATAACTTCAATAGAATCATTCTATACACTGTAGCTTCTTTACATTATATTAGAATGTAAAGAAGCTACATTCTAATATAATTGTCTTTTGAAGATGAACAGGACATTTTTCAGTCTCAAGTAATGACTGGGTTGTTACTTTCGGTGCTGCTTTAATATTGATCATGTTTTGATATTTGAGTCATTTTGTGGATGATCAGATGGAGTTCTGATGGTAGCAGTCGCCCAATTGCAGATTCAGCTTGAGCAAACCCTTTGCCTATTGTGTTCAAATCAGGCCCAGATGAGTTTACAAGGCAGGTGTCCTTTCTCGAAACACTGACCTGATGCATCAAGTGGATATTTTTTGCTGAACACAATATTTTGCATTTGCCCTCTACATCCTCTAGTCGGAATGAGCATACTTATAAACGCACTGTTACAACTCCTTCATAGTGTCATATTGCTTTTCGGAGAATTATGATGATAAGTTCATAGTAGATGCAAAAGTATACTTATGTACAATATATTATGTTGAACATTGTTGCTCCTGGATGGATCACAGCCAACACAATTATTGTCAACACAGCTCCATGTCCTTGGTCCTGGTGGCCACAGCACTTAAAAGAATAAACTTCATAATTCTCAAAATTCTGACCCTTTGTTTTTTTATTAACAGCATTTACTTGTACTTTTACTTTCAATACTTAAGTACATTTAATATCAGAAAATTACTTTTGATACTTAAGTACAGTAAATATCAGATACTTTAAGACTTTTACTCAAGTAGTATTCTAATAGGTGACTTTTACTTTTACTGGAGTCATTTTCCAGTAAGGTATCTTTACATTTACTCAAGTATGGCTTTTGGGTACTTTATACACCACTGTCTATTTGTGCCCCTTCCATCTGGCAGGAGGCTGCGGTCCATCAGAACCAAGACCTCACACCACACAAACAGTTTCTTCCCGTCCGCAGTCGGGCTCATTAACAAAGCCCGGGTCCCCCACTGACTCTGTCATCCCCAGGACATTTCCTTCTGGTCTCTCCCCTGCACATCCCTGTCTCTTTTATTTAAACACACTCGCCACTTTTAACATTTCACTTATACTTCACTTGTTTTACAGTCCTGTTATCTGTTTTGTTGTGCACTTTATTTTATATTGTATTGTAAATTTTAATATGTTTCTATTTCTTGCACTGTGTTGATTGTTGATAGTTTAATGTTATTGTTTATTGTTAAATGTTACGCACCACCCGCCATGACAAATTCCTTGTAGGTGCAAACTTCCTTGGCAATAAACGGTTCTGATTCTGATTCTGATTCTAATAGGCCATCACTCATTTTTCGTAAATGTCATAACAGTAACCTTTACATTAGAATATAGAGGAGCAAGACAAGTAAACAAGGGTTATTCATTAAGTCATCTAATTTACTACAATGATATAGAAAAATTACTCATCGCATGAGAAAAACAAAGTATGTATAAATAAATATAACTATATCCCCTGAGAGACACAAGTATGGTAACATGTGAATTGGCTTTGTTGTAGCCGTAAGATTGCTGTGAGGGACAGTATAAGATGTCATTCTTAAGTCGTCTTAACTTTAATTACTGATTTATTACATATCACAATATCTCAAATCCAGTTCAAACTGAATGAGCAGCTGCATTAACATCTGTCTCAAAGTTCAGCACAAGACTTAGCAGCAGAGCCTGATGTGCTGCAGAAAGTCACAAAGCTGACACCAAAGAGAATCCCAAAATAATACTAATAGCAATATAGTACTACGCAGTATAAAACCTTATTCTTCAGGCATGCTATCAATATCAAACTAACAAGAGCAATCAGATAACGACAGGGCCATAGTTGTGAATATAGAAATACTCATAAAGACTAAAAGGGACCTCTTTTGTTCAGATAACGGTGATAATACATGGAATACATAAATAACAGAAAAATCATATCTAACACCTTATTTGTAATTCACTGGTTTCACACAACCTTGCACTGTAAAAACAGCGCCATTGTGTGGGCCAACTGTCATCACTGTTCATTGCAACTATAACTTAGGTCTAAATTAGTTCATATTATCCCTCAAAATCAGATCTCAATAAACACAGTTACTGTCTGGATGCCTTCAGGATCAACTGGACTTCAAAGTTTACTAAGAACCTAAATTCAGAAGAGCTATAAAATATTTCATTTAAAAAGAATACAAACCTTGATTTAAAAAAACAAGTAAACTGCATTTAATTCAAAATAATCTGAACTGGCATTTTGTATCACTTCCTCATTAGAGTCATGGTAGGTTGTGTAATTGCAAATTTTCTTCATTATATCTTAAAATCAACACTATGTATTGTATTTCTCAGCTCTTGTCCTTTTAGACACAACATAATGGAACATTTAAATCAGGCTTCAGGTCACGTCACAACAAGGAGTCAGCTCTACTTAAAGTCTTATTTAAATTTATGTTCATGTTATTTTATTACACTGCACTTTGGTCAACTCTGGATGTTTTTAAATGTGCTTTATAAACAAACTGTATTTGATAAGATACATATATAAGTATGACCACTAGAGGGTACTGTTGGACAAGATATGATGTGGAGCATCAAGTTATTATTAAATACAACTTTTGAAAAAATCTACCCGTGGCATTGAAAGAGAAAGCACTTGGTTTGTGACTCCAACTACATCATGGTGAATCATGCTTAGAGGGGCCTGTTTACACATACACCACGTAGCAATGTCTTGTAGAAGAAGGGTAGGGTCACATGTTAAATATAAAATTAAAATAAAAACACGTGTCCCGATCCTATTCTGCACAGAGTGGAGGTGTTAGGTTGAAGGAAGAGACCATCTTGAAGGCAACTATAGTGTAATCGAAAATGCTCTCAGGTTTCATCATGGGAAATGTAGAATCCGATTTTTATATTTTTAAAACCTGAGTATCGCAACTATAGGGAGATGCAACACTAAATCAGTGGAGGACCCACTTAAGGTTGTCTCATTATAACTGCTGAATATATACAGTATTATACACTATTTGGCTTACATACATTTCAAACATGAAAGGGAACTAGTTCGGTGAGGTACAAGTGCCTCAGTAAGTACTGTAACTGAGTTCATGTAACATGAGTCCCATTACATACCACCACGGCTGTCTCACATGGTTGACCAGAATCTTTTATTTTGAAAGCGGTAGAGAGGAAGTAGTCGTTAGCAGGGAATCGACTGTCAACTATCGTTGAGTGGGCGTGCTATCCAGCTAACTATTTATAGCTGGTTAGCTAATTTGAAACAAAATCCAGCAGCTGAAGAGGGGGTAAGGTGAGTTTGTTTGCTCAAATGTACAACGTTACGGTTTCCCAAGTGATCTTCGTTTGTTTTACTATCGTCAACAGATCGAGTGGTTTCCGGCAACATTGAAGCCAGCGATGTTAACGTTAGCCGCTAGCTAGCTAGTTAGGTACTTTGCTAGGCTTGCAAGGCAATGAAGGCAAAAATTGGCGATTTTAATTTCCTGCCAAGGATTAAAATCGTATTTGTGATTGAAACGGATATTACAATTTGTTCTAAAGTCACACGTGGTGACTTTTTGTTGTATAATTGAGATTCTTGAACAGACAGGAGATTAACAGATGAAAAGCTTTAGCGTGCCACTCTTTGTTGCTAGGCAACGGAGTTCTCCGCTGGGTGTCCGATGGTAAAGCCTGTAATTACATTAGTGGAGCAAAAACACGCATCGTCGTGACTTGATCGTATGCACCATGCAACCTATTTAGCTCATGCGCTTGATTTCCCATATTACGAACCGAAAAGAAGATAAATAATAAAGTGCCTCTGTCTGTCTCTTCTGGGCTCTTGTCAGGATATACAGTAGTTCACCATGTTGGTCCCGATATTCACACTGAAGCTCAACCACAAGATTAACCCTCGCATGGTGACTGTTGGGAAGTTTGATGGAGTCCACCCATGCCTTACTGCAGCCACACAGGCTGGAAAGGTGAGGGGAATAAACATGTTCTCTGTTCCCACATAATTTAGTTGAATTCGTAATGAGCAGAAACTGTATTGCATACCATGGCTGCTGCCTGAGTCCATGAACATTCTTCCATCTTTTTATTTTCTACAAATGCCTTTTCGTGGCCTCGTTATAACATTGTGGAAAGCGAGGGACCATATTCTGAACTTTAACTTCCACATTGTTTCTGTGCTGGCCCACTGTACTTGCCTGATATCAGACAGCATTGAGAGGGTGGATTCAAAGGTCTGGACCCAGGCAACAACTTAAAGAGTCCTTCACCACATGTCTCTTAGACTTACGCTCATTACAACACTTTCGATTATAGAATACCTTTCTTACTTTTACTACCAACTCTAAGTCACACACTATATGTTTCCGCCTCTGTTTCTCTCTGTAAGGTTTTTATCCATAACCCTCATGCTCGTGGTCAGAGACCTGTGGCCCACCGCCTCAGCCAGAGCGCACAAGACTCTGACATCTCACTCCTCAACATCAACCAGGCAGTCACATGTCTGACGGCAGGAACGCTGGGACCAAACACCACGGGGGACACGCTGTTGGTGGGATCACAGACCAACCTGCTGGCCTATGATGTCCATGACAATGCTGATATTTTCTACAGAGAGGTGAGTGGAACTGAGAATAGGTGGAGGGAAAACATTTGGTTGAAGTGGTATCTCTCTCCAGGAATGAAGTCTAAGACAATGTAACAATGCAAAGTGTATATTGGTTAAATGCATAGAGGTTACAGGTAGATAAACACAGGTGTGTTGTTGTGTGTGTACGTGTTCCGTTTTTATTGTAAAGAGCTTTGTAACTGTGATTTGAAAGGTGCTTTTTAAGTTTCTTTAGCAACCCAAGACAACACTGACATTAAAGGACTCAAATCCCTGGTATACATATTTGTTTTTAATAGTGACCGGGTGTCAAAAACCATAAAAGATAAGATAATGTATATTTTATCGTCCCACGGGGAAGTTTGTCTCTGGCTCCAAGCCGCTGCATCACACAACACACTTTCCAGCATCACGGTGCAAATACATGCTTATAACACATAACATAGATCATACATGCACTCATGCATAAACATGCTTCATTTCACATGTTGAATGTGAGACAGCGGTTCTTTAAAATAATACTACGTAATAAAAGACAATATTTTCGAATGATAAAATCAGGTGTAATCAAACCAGATAATAAATAACCAAGTTCCAATATTTTAGTCCTCAATAAAATCACATCGTACTACTACTTGTTGCTATATAATATTTTGATGGAGGATGGAATGAATTAATAGAAAGCATTGTTGTTATCATTTTGTAAAAAGGTTGGTAGAGACCCAAGCTATGCATGAGTGTTACATTTGTATTCACGACACACAGGTACTGTTGTGTTGTCCAATCTGGCCCCACGATGTCACTGTTGTCTCACTCTTACTAGAGTACATACAGACACAACAAGGGAAACAGTGTGTTAGTATGTGTTTTCTCTCACAGTAACATGATGGTGTATGAATAGTGCAGAGCAGTATTTTCTTTGACATTTGAGAGTTTTGATGACAGCTGCTGTACCTGAGGCTACTGATGATGAGGGATTTTAAAGCACGATAATGACATGGCTAGCTCAGACAGCATCAACGTTCAAGATACTGTCCCAGTAGCGGTCCCAAGAAAGTTAGGACGGATGAGGGAACCTCATATAATTATCTCAATGGCCTCGACCTTGCTGCTGCTATAAAAAAAGGAAATGTCTGGCCAAATTGCCAAGTTAGTAATAAACCAGATAATCTCACAGGTGTTGCAACATACACAACCATGTTCCAATGATCGCAGGAAAGAGACTGTGATTTGTGATTACTGGGCTTTGGTAGATAGTACAGTACAAACATGAAATATAACATGTTAAGCCAAAATATATCAATGAGTTTTGAATTTAAAAATCTGCCATAGAAAAAAAATCATTGTAAAAATATCATCTCATAACATATTTGCATCTATGCCGTTTCTGTTTCGAACTGAATACTTGAAAAAATGACAACAAGCAGCAGTGCTTTACACTCTGGAGACGAGCCTGGCTGTCGACATGTTGTACAGTACTCCATTTTTAAAGGGCCTTGTGTCCGTTTCCTCTGTGTGTGTGGGGGTGTAGGTGACGGATGGGGCCAACGCTATTGTGTTGGGGCACCTCGGGGACAAACCGAGTCCTCTGGCCATCATTGGAGGGAACTGCGCTTTACAAGGCTTTGACCATGCTGGCAATGACCACTTTTGGACGGTAAGAACATCAAGGCAACATTTTAATATCAGCACAGTCTGTCTTACATTCAAGAAGTTGGTTTCTTTGAATAGCAACGCACAACTTATGAGACAAAGACACCTCACTAAAATGTAACCAGTTTGATTATCAGCACATTTCCATGTGTTAAATCTCTGCAGACCCAGCCAACATGAATAATTCTTTGTCTGAATCAACTAAATAAATGTAATAATGAAGTTTCTTGTTTTTAGGTGACTGGTGATAATGTCAGATCTCTGGTACTATGTGACTTTACTGGCGATGGAAAAAATGAGGTACGTCCTGACGCTGTGTTGATGCTGCGTCTGATCACAGAGCTTTGTCGCACATCTTCCTCCTCGTGTTCTATAGCTCTCTAATTTGAAAATGTTAACAGTTGTGTCTGAACTGTAGACGTGAGTTCAATGAAAGATGAATTCATATTGACGCTATTGTGTTTCCAGCTTCTGGTCGGCTCAGAGGACTTTGACATCAGAGTATTCAAAGAGGACGAGCTTGTGTCTGAGATGAGTGAGAACGAGGTAAACTGATGCAATGTGTTTCACTTTTTTAAAGACTCCCGAGAAAAATATCCATCAAAACTAACAAGTGTGTTGTTGTTTATTTTAAATTAACAGTCGCACAATAACACTTGAAATCACCAGTGCACTGTTACTAGTTTCCCCTCTGTCCTTCTCCCTACAGACAGTAACGTCACTGTGCCATATGCATGACAGCAGGTTTGGCTATGCCCTGGCCAATGGCACTGTGGGAGTTTATGACCGCAGCGCCCGCTACTGGAGGATTAAGGTACCGTAATCATTTATGATAGTGTCGTCTTGGAATAGAGGGGCTAACCTTATTGGAAAAAAATAGGTATTAGCAACCAGTGTTGTAGTCAAGACCACCTAAACCGAGACCAAGTCATGACCAAAAGCCAGAGTGTATCGAGACAGAAACAAGACCAAGACGAGTCTGACTTCAACAAGTAGTCTTGAGACCGGTCTCAAGACCATGACTGCTATAGAGTTCTTCAACACACAGTGTTAATGACAATGGTGGTCTTTGGCACTTGGTGGGTGTCGTTGTCATTGTTTCCATCAGCCTTTCCCTCTGAAAGCCTTAGTTCTGTTTATTCTATGTCTATAGAACAACCCTATCATGTTGTATGTCCTTAATCATTTGATGCTGTTTGAAATTTGAACTGACTGACCCATTAAGGGCCTTTTGACTTTAAATGTAATGTGTCTCCATTTCCTTTTTAAATAATGTGTTTTTCACTCTCCAATCAGTCCAAGAATCACGCAATGAGCATCCATGCCTTTGACCTGAATGCTGACGGGGTGGTGGAGCTTATCACTGGCTGGTCCAATGGAAAGGTCAGCTCACAACCTAGCGGGCCTGGCATTTCACACAAGAAGTCATTCATTTCCACACTGTCTTTAGTTCGTCTTCAGTGTGGATCAGGTTCTCCTTTTATTTCAGATTGATGCTCGTAGTGACCGCACAGGCGAGGTCATTTTTAAAGACAACTTTTCCTCTTCTGTGGCCGGAGTGGTGGAGGGAGATTACAGGTTGGATGGACAGATGCAACTTATCTGCGCCTCCACAGAGGGAGAAGGTATGTTGTCTGCCTGTATGGTTTCTGCCCACGTATGCATGTATGAAGATGTGTTGGAAATGGTTGGATTCAGGCCATCCTCTGTGTCCCTGGATGAATGCTTTTACAAATATCTGTCACTATTTTCTTTTTTGGGAAAAAAAACACAATTTCTTGCTCTGTGTTTGTTAGTGCCCTTTCTTATCAGCACTAATATCCCACTAACTCCCTGCCAACTGTCAGAAGGAGGAGAGTTAGTGTGTGTGTGAGAGTGCAAGTTCACATACTAAGGTAACCCAAATTACTAAATATTGTAGTGCTGTCACCTGATTTCAATGGAGATTTATTAAATTTTATGTGTGGTGCATTTGTGACTCCGATCTATTTGATCTCGTGCAACTAGCAGATCATTATTTCCACTTCCTGAGTAGAGATACCTAAAAACAAATAACCACATTACCATGGGCTTCAACTGTACCTTAAGCTTAATTCAGACATAGCATACAAACATGCTGAACATGGTTTGGGAGATCTGACCATTTAGGCTTGGATAAGAATGTCATCAGTGTTGTAAATGTGTGTATCTTGTAGTCCGTGGTTATCTGCCAGCCAGTAAAGACCTTAAAGGAAATCTCATGGACTCCAGTGCTGAACAAGACCTCATTAGAGACCTCAGCCAACGCAGACAGAATCTGCTGCTGGAGCTACGCAACTATGAAGAGAATGCCAAGGTACATTTCTATATTATCGTACAAGCACAGAGATGAGTAAAATCCCCTTTTCACATTTTTTTTTTTCCCTTTATCGTTTCATTTTTGTCATAATTCTCTGCATCGCTGTTTGTTTCAGAGATAGCAGACTTCACACAGGATAATCACAGGATTCTTAATTGACATGTGGCTGTATATTATTTTATATGCTAACATCCACAGAAACTGTGCTGTTGTTTCAGGGTGTGTCAGAGACAAACAGTGGAGTGGGTGTCATACCAGCCAACACTCAGCTCCAGACAGCGCTGTCAGTGAGGCCTGCTACAGAGGCTCAGAAAGCTCATGTAGAGCTCAGCATTTCAACACCAAATGGTAGAGTGTATTAGCACTTAGGCTGAGAATTTCAAGCACGTCAAGGACAGGGCAAATACTCTATAGTCCAAAGTCCCTGAATCTCTCCTTTATCTTCTCTAGAAACCATCATTCGTGCAGTGCTAATCTTCGCAGAGGGGATATTTGAGGGGGAGAGTCACGTTGTGCACCCCAGCGCTCAGAACCTCTCAGGCTGTGTCCGCGTGCCCATTGTCCCCCCAAAGGATATACCAGTAGATCTGCACATCAAAGCCTTTGTTGGAGGGAAAACTAGGTAGGATGTGTGAGTAAGTAAAGTACGTGTGCTGTCGTGTATTAATTGCATTTTTCTTACCATGTAATTAACCACCTTCTCTGCACTTCATTCTTTTTGTCTTCTCCAGCACCCAATTCCATGTGTTTGAAATCACTCGTCAGCTGCCTCGTTTCTCCATGTATGACATCACAGTTGACTCCTCAGCTGCTCCGCCCACTGGAAGGGTCACCTTCAGCATCAACGACCGACCACAGAGGGTAGGCTGATCAGTCCCACAGCATGTCCAAGGCAATAACATCCCAACATATGTTTGCTAATTACAATCTTATATTAATGTATGCAATTGTTTACATCTGTGTGTGTGTGTGTGTGTGTGTGTGTGTGTGTGTGTGTGTGTGTGTAGGTGGTGATGTGGCTGAATCAGAACTTCTTGCTTCCAGAAGGAGTAGACAGCCCCGACATCACATTTAATTCTCTAAGAGGAGGGGGACTGTTGTCCATCAGTATGGCCACCAATGGACAGGTACAAACACACAACAACAACTATACGTTTAGCCATATCACTCTTACACATTACACTTTTGTGCACTTTTTTCTGCAAGTTTTAACATTACATCAACAAGAGAATCAAGTGCTTGAGTTTTGTAGCTCAAAACATAAACATTGAAACATGAAATCACTGTGATTTGTTATTACCAACAACATCAATATGACTTGTTTATTTATATTGTACAAAGTCAATTTAATTACATTCAATTAATTACATTAGTGATTTAAAAGACAAAGGCTTTGTGTTGTGCATACTTTGTTTTGGGTTTTTGCTCATAAAGGGAAAATTGTGACCGTATAAATCATGAGTTCTTACCTTGCCAAGAGTGAGCAAAAACATTGAGGTTCATTTGCATGAAGTTACAATAGCTACTGACATTTCCTTTTTAAAATAAGCTAAAATCAGATGCTTAGTTAATCCTTAATTTGCCCAATCAGATCACTCTGAGAACCGATGACATTGACCTGGCAGGAGATCTGATCCAATCACTTGCCTCCTTCCTGGCAATAGAGGAATTGTCAGCAGAAGCAGACTTCCCCGGATACTTTGAGGAGCTACACACCACACTCACTGAGGTCTGGCTCTAATGACATTGAAACCTCTACTGTCAAAAACATTTCATGTTGTATATTCCACTAGTATTCCAAGACATACCTTCCATCCATCCCCACATGTACATTGACCTGTACATGTGCATTGTGACTACAACTTTGTGTAAAAGGCTTGTCAGGGCTGAGAGAAGTCAGGGAGCTCATGAGAAATTAAATCTTTATTTGTCAGCAGAGAGAATGTAGCTGTTGCTTTCATAATGAGTCTTAAATATCTGCGATGCAGGTGGATGAGTTCCACTCCGTCCATCAGAAGTTAACTGCAGCCATGGCCGACCACTCCAACTACATCAGGAACATGCTGGTGCAAGCAGAGGATGCTCGCCTTATGGGTGAAATGTGAGTAACCACGACAGACGTGCAGCAAATTGAACTGGTCCCATTTATAATCATTGTCAAATACTAAATGTGATGTATGATTTCTTTAGGAAACATATTGACGTTGATAACGTTTTTTTATGGTTGCATGCAATTTAGGTCAGCCACTTCCAGAGCTGTGGTATTGTGCATGCTTGTTTAAAGCCAGCAAAGAGAAAAAGCCATCAGCAGACCCTCACCTTCCACCAGCGTTGCAACAATAGAAAGGCTTAGTTTCCCTTAAATGTTACCATGACAATTCAAAATGTCTGCTGGGAAAAAGGTCAACTGTAGTGCAAACACTCTTTACTAGTGTTTTCTGAAACAAAAGAACAATTGTATCAAAAACATGAAGAACAAATACACAGTTGCTGATTAATTAGGTACACCTAGCTAAAAGTAGTACAGTCTAATACAACAGTCCTACATTACATCCTTCATGAATGTTGATACAACTTCATGGACATTTTGGAGGCTGCAGTTTGTGGTGCTGTTGTAATGAAAGGTGCTTCTAATACTTAAAGCACCCTCATTGATATAAATGGGACAGACAAAATATTAGAAATGCCTTTTAGTATAATACTTTACAAATCCAACTGCACCACAAAACTTCAGAGTGAGCCCCAAATTGAATCAACACCTCTCTAAGACAGTTTCAACAAAAACTTGTAACTGAGTGTATATTTCAGCGTATATATATTGATAATACTGCTATAAGATCTTTTCTTTTTAACCACAGGACTGTTTCTCTTCCTCTTCTCCCCGTACGCTCTCTCTGATTTTCTCCCTCGCTCTCTGCAGGACAACTATGAAGAAGCGTTACAGAGAGCTGTACGATCTAAACAGGGATCTGGTCAACGAGTATAAAATCCGCTCTAACAACCACAATGCATTACTTGCCTGCCTCAAGTCTGTCAACCAGGCCATACAGCGGGCTGGTAGACTCCGAGGTAGGCCACTGTGCGTGCGTGCGTGCGTGCGTGCGTGCGTGCGTGCGTGCGTGTGTGCGTGTGTGTACATATGTATGACACACTGTAACAACCACAATTCCTGAACAACTGCATGTGGGCTGAGTCAAGCCTATGTACAATCAATATTATTGTACCTGGGTAGGTTTTTGGATGTAGTGCATACGTGTTGCTGGTCCAGATGTTGGTTCTTTCTAGTGTTGATTGGACATATTCAACGCTTTGCTGATGTCGGTGAGGGACTACAAATGCTTTGCGGAGTACTTGAGTCCGGCTCACCTTAGATACCAGACTGGAAACCCTCTGTTTCAGTGTCTCCTATAGCTTCTTTTTTTTTTGGAAGCATGCAAGATGTAGCATATCGGGGATGAGGAGAGTTTTGACTTTTCAGGGAAACAACACTCACGACCAAAACACCAAGCATCCCTTGACAAGCACATTTCTGCATCTCAGTCAGGACACTGAGCAGTCAAAACGGTGGTATTTATGTTGTTCATGGCAGTGATGCAACATCAAAAGCCCACTGCACATACAGTATACATATGTATGTATTCATCAATAATATCAGAGTATATAGAGGAATCCTTAATAAGAAGACTAAACAGCCATTTCAATACTGATTTCACTATCAAATGTCAGTGAACAAAGCTCAGAAGCTTAAAAGCATTTATGTCATCCTCTATGTGTCGTTACAAGTCGCATACCTGTCTTGTCTCCTCATATTAATCTGTCTGTCGCTCTTCCTCCTTACCTCCAGTCGGTAAACCCAAGAACCAAGTGATCTCTGCCTGCCGAGACGCCATCAAGAGCAATAACATCAACGCACTCTTCAGGATCATGAAAGCTGGCACTGCATCCTCCTGAGGGTGGAAGGGGTGGTGGTTTAGGAATGGACAAATAGATTGAAAGTGCAAGCACACCGCAGAACTACTCGGCAATGTAATGTTGAGCTTGACCTATTTCAAGCATGGCACCAGCAAGGATTTCCCCCCAGAATGATGAGACGAGGACACGAGAAGGGACGCAGTTTGTAGCCTTAATCTATCTTTTTGCCTGGCAGCAACATTTGGTACGAGCTCCATAATACCTTTTTACTGTCTGTGAAGACTTGAAATTCTCCTAGCTCACAGAGATAAAATGCTGACTACAGGCTTAGTGCGCTTGAAGGAGCTTGATTTAGTGCAGTTAAAGCTTAGCTAGATAGTTTGGAGAGTTCAGCTGGAGCAAAAGAGGTAGTGGAGTGCTTCCCTCGGACTGTTTCTCAGAAGCAATGGAAGAAAGATATTCAATGATGCTTCAGAGAAATTAGTTTTAATGCATTAATCTGACTGCTGTCTGAAACTCATGCAAAACAAAAGTCTTTTCTTCAGTTCTACTCTCGCATACACTGTCTGACAGCATCAGTAGAGTTAAGTGTAATGCCCTTTGAATGTGGACGTTTTCCAGGTAGCGTTGCGCATTTCTCATGAAAACGTTTAAACTTCAGGAAAGAATGCATTTCCACTAAAACACGAGGGTTTGTAGGAAAATGAGTATCTGCTGGATCGGCAGCCTGAATGTTTGATTCAGCTGACACAGTGATGTTTAGAGAGAGCACAGCTGGGGCAAGACGGAGAGCAGCTTCATTGAAATCACTGGTGGCCCTTATGGTTCTGTGTGTTGTGCAAGAAAACTATTTTAAATGAACGGATGTCAGAGGACCAGCGCTGTGTGTTTCACTTGTTTACCTTTTGTAGATTGTACACAGAGATTGTAAATGTATAATTGTGTGTGTGGCAGAAACTATTATTAAATAAACTTTTGTTTTAAAAGTATGTACGTATTTGCTATCTTTGGAAACGTTGTGATCTCTGCTAGAATTTAAGGTACGGTTCAGCAGGTTTGAACAAAGTTTGGCTGCAGGGCATGAAATTTAAATAAGTGACCCACCAAGTGGTCGTTGCTTGTATAACAACAGGAAAGAATTGAGAGGGAAAATTATAATTAATTGGAAAAATGGGGCTTCCCATTTTTTAACATACATGTAAACTATGCTGCATATTTCCAGGGGTCTTCCATTTTATTTTAACTATGTATTCGTCAGTTAAGCTGTACCATCCACACACTACATCCAGCACTAAGGACTCTGCTTTTCCAACCTCAACTTTCCTACTTTTGGTATAGTTCTGATTGGATGCACACATGTTCCCTCACGCGCTGTATTCTACAGGCGCTACATATGGTTCAGTAAAGACCCAGTCTAGAGTCGTAAATTACTGCTGCTCGTGCTGTGTCTCTGCCTGAGTGTGCTCTCCCATATGACTGGGTAGCTTGGCCTAGTATGAAATATTTAGCTGGCCTTGATCCCTGACTTCCTTGTAGACTCAAACTAGGAAAAGACATGACTAATTATCATAACTTTAGAGATCCACACTCTGCACTTTTATTTAGTCCTCTCGTCTATTTCTCCCTTTGTCCTCCCTTGTTGCTGTGTTGGCATCTGGCTTGAGGTCGCTCTGGCCTTGTTTAAGTCACGTGGTCAGGCTAAAGGATGATGGTGTTGCGTTCAGGTTCTCCTGGTTGGCTTGTTCATCTGACGACTGGCTCTTAAATTCCAAGACATTCTGATAACCTACTTTGGACAGACTTTATATAGTTGTATAGCCTCTTCTTGTTGTCTCTTTGTTTAGGATGTTTTTGTATTTGTTTTTTTGTCTGTGGATGTTTTGCCGTTTTTTTGTAGTAATTAAGGTCTCATTACGGTCATTTTGTCTCTCGATTAAAAAAAAGACAATACAACCTAAAACTGACAACAAGCAGTGCTAATTATTTCGTGATTAGTTGATTCTACACCAAGAAAGTCATTTATTATATTATTATTAAAAAATTAGTTTATAATTGTCTACACTTGCAGTTATTTCGTTGACAGTAAATATATGAATATTCCCTACAGTACTTTAAGGCAACTATGAGCGCAGCCAGCGGCTGACGGGCTCAAAGCCAGGTAACATTTCTAACCTCCCTTCTACACACACACACACACACACACACACACACACACGCATGAATACAGTCGCTCATCTTCTCTCATCGGGTGTTTGTCTTTGAAATCATTCTTTTTGTGCGTCGGTGCGCAGAGTGGAGGCTGTGGTGCAGTTGCACAGATGTTTTCAGTTCGACGTCGTCCTCCGTCTCGTCTGGTAAGTTTGAATGACTTTCATGGATCGGGGAACATTTCACAACAATTGTAATTATAAAACCAGGCAGACTTCTGGTTGCTACTGTAAAACATGCGGCATATAGTCCTATTTGTCGAGAAATTATAGGGGAGAAGTTTTGCGACGCTGTTGGTCATGCTTGTGTGGAATTTGCGCTCTAAAATAAATAGCTGAGATTAGACAGTCGTTAACAGTGGTTATAACATGATGTCTGCCAATGGTATGAACGTTTGGACACAGTGTTCTTAGACAGAGTTGGTACCCTTATGCTCACTTACATAAGACACGGACCCTCCCCCTTCTGAACGGAGTTATGAATAATGGGAATCAAGAAAATACTTTCTGCTATTTATCAGCCAACAATAACTTCTTGGATTATTTTATTATTATTTGTTTTGTCCTGGTTACTACTTCGAGGTCATGTGAAGCAGGTTATGTTCGGAGCTCAGAATTCAGTCACATTTAGCCAGTTTAAACTAGATGCCAGGACACCCTGTGACATACAAATGACAAAAAAACATCTTACTGAAAAATAAGAGATGATCGGCTATATACAGTATATTTCTCTAGTGCGTCAAAAATAATCTGCTGATTGATATCATTGGCAAACGAGGCTCATTTATTGTATGAAACAAGATGAGAGAGAGTTTCACACTAACTTCCAGGACAGCACATCGTCCTTAGAGCAGACAAATGGGGGAAGGGACAAGTAACAATATGTTCTATGCAACAGGGATCATCAAAGTCTATGGAAATGTGTTCTTGTTGTTGTCCAGGATGCCCCCACCCTTGGGTGCCTGAGGAGAAGGGGAGGATGGAGCCAGACAAGATGGTGATATTAGTTTTTACAGACAAACTGTGAAGTTTGAGGTGATGTTTAGCGATGCAGCAGGGAACAGGAAGAAAAATCACCACATCTTCTCCTCGAATTCTGCAGAGTTTCCCGCAAACCCAAGTCTGGTCTGTATCAGTCTCCACTGCTGTCTGCAAAGCAGTATGAACTGCGCCAGCCCCATTCCACTGCATACCCGTTCAATACTTAACTGAAGTCAGCGTCTTCAGAAGGAACCAAGGAAGATGGGGACAATCAGGAGAATCCTCCATGTCAAGGGAGATGTGCTGTGCACGATGCTGCTACTGGTGCTATTCTCTCTGCTGCTCTATGCCCATCAGGTAAGGATAGAACCAATCACAGCATATGAAGGGGTATAGTTAAAAAAAGTACTTAAGTATTTAAAATCACATGTCCAATCAAATCCCATCCATGTTTCCAGGTTGTGCTCTCCTCTGGGTGGGACAGACCTGTGTGGAAGCTGGAGATCCATGGCTCTACCAGCTCCAGCAGGACATTGCTTGGCGCTAGCAAAGCCAAAGCAGGCCAGGAGTCTCCCGGGGTATGAGCTGATCTGGTTCAAGTTATAAATGTGTGTGCCTGTTTGCATGTAGGTATCAGAATCCAAGTATCTTCATCATGTAAAATGGATAAAATGATAATGGGTGCACTAAAAGATAAGACTTCATATCACCAAACAGCAGACAGGCAAATTAAGCAACTAGTCTGGCAGAGGGTAGTTGCTGTTAGAAAGAAAGTGTTGCATTAGCAGGTGAAGGCGATGAGGACTGTGATGGATGATGTGTGTAGGAAGAATCCTGTGACAAAGGACTGATTGTGATGTGCTGACCTGAAGGTGCTGCAAGAAGGTCATCATTTGTTAGTCTTGTCCTCATTTATAAGATTAGGGAAGTTCACATCCCACATGCGATGCTCTTTGTGCTCACAGAGCATGTGGAGACATTTTCACAGTGTCTACTGCTGAGCTGAAATTCACAACCAGTGTGAGAGCACTGCACAGTATGTGCTGTGTGAATACACATACTGCATATGTAGAGTGCATCAATGTATGTACACACAGTATGTTTGCATTTATGTTTGCGTGAATGACCATCTGTACTGATCCACAGATGGTCCAACACAACCTAGAAGAGATAAACATGAAGCAGTACGAACAGAAATTATGATGCTCGTTTTCAATGTCATTTTAGATTTTTAGTTTTTATACTTCTTTTGCACATACAACTTTAAGATCGCATGATCTTGCTATAGAAAATGTCCTCCAACTTCTGTCTCACATCATTTTTCCTAATTAGCAGATCCCATCCAGCCCTTCAGAGACACAGCTGCCTCCGTGCAAACCCCAGTCCAAGTCCAAACCTCCTCTGTCCAAGTCCAAACCTCCTCTGTCCAAGTTGAAACCTCCTCTGTCCAAGTTGAAACCTCCTCAGCTCAAGTCCAAACCTCCGCAGCCCAAGTCCAAACATCAGGTCAAATCTAAGGGGAAATCCAAGTCTCAACGGAAAAATGCTGTCCCAACTAAGACCATTGGCAAGCCCCTGCCTACGTTGCCACCATTTGACTTTGAGGGCTATCTGAGAGAAAAGGACAACAGAAACTTTAAGCTGCTCATAGACCAGCCAGAGAAATGTCACATTGGAGGAGCAGAGGAGGAAGCAGGAGAAGGAGGAAGTAAAGGGTCTACCACTGCTCCCTACATGCTCATTGCGGTGAAATCTATCCCTGCAGATTTTGATAAACGTCAGGTAAAATAAGACATGTTGTATGTTGGACAAAAAAAAAAAAAAAAAATTTGTAAATGGTAAAATGTGCTGTGAATCAGTACAGAAGTTAGGCTGTATTTTTCACACAAGCTATTTTGTGTATGAAAGCTTGTTGCTTTTGTTTTCTTTGCTATTTGGTTCACTCTCACTGTTCTCAGTGTAGTTCATAACAGCAGCCAGCAGCTGTTTTCTGTTAAACAGTTCTGATAAACCCACTGTACTCTACCTGCACAGCACTAATCTGCAGATGGATCGAGTTAGCATCTAGCTGGTGAACACAGTGGAGCATTTAGCAGCTAAAGAGCCCGATATTTCCTTCAGGAGTTGGTGGAGACTAAAACTAGAGATAAGAGTAGAGTAAATATTGGACTTACATTTGACAAGTAGACATGTGGGTAAAAAAAATCAATTAATACAAGTTCAATCTCAGAAACCATCTGCTTTCTGACGACGCTTCCTATGGCCAATATTTTCAGGGTTCCAGTGTGGCCAGCAGACATTATGCAGGTATCTCTCCAAACTGAGGTTGTTTTAACAGATCACTGGCATACAAGCCCCATATGCTGCCAGTGCTGCTGATGAGTCTAGCTGTTGCCATTTTACTGGTGACACTCTGCCAAATGTCACACGATTAACACACATTTAACCTAACGTTGTATTAACTTAATTCTTTCTTCTCAACAAAATAATCTTTTCCTTTCTGCACTTAATTAATTTTAGGTGGTACGTCGGACCTGGGGTAAAGAGGGACTTTTTCAAAATGGTGTGTCCATCCGGACTGTTTTCCTGCTGGGGGTTCCCAGGAATCGGACTGCTCTGCCTCTTTGGGATCGGCTCATGACCTACGAGAGTCAAACCTTTGGAGATATCCTGCTTTGGGACTTTGAAGACACCTTCTTCAACCTGACGCTGAAGGAAACACATTTTCTGAAATGGGTTAACAGCAGCTGTCCTCATGTCAAGTCAGTGTTTACAAGCCTAAATCAAGAGTCTATCTGATTCTTAGCCTTTTTGTGACTCCTATCTGATTGCTTTTCCTATTATCTCTTTTCATACAGATTCATCTTCAAGGGCGATGCTGATGTGTATGTTAATGTGGAGAATATATTGGAGATGCTGCAAGGTCAAAAGCCAGACAAGGATCTGTTTGTTGGTGATATTATTATCCATGCTAAACCAATTCGGCGGCGCAATTCCAAATACTATGTGCCAGAGTTTGTTTATGGAGGGGGTTTGTACCCGAATTACGCTGGGGGAGGAGGGTTTGTCATGTCGGGACATACGGCTCGGAGACTTAGCTCTGCCTGTCAACAGGTACGTCAAAGTTTGACAGTTTTAATATTTTTGTATGTCTGTTTTTACAATTTTTTGATTCACAATGTTTTTATTCACTTCCAGGTGGAGTTGTTCCCCATTGATGATGTCTTTCTAGGAATGTGCCTCCAGCTGATCGGCGTCAAACCATCACGCCACCAGGGCTTTCGGACCTTCGGAATTACCCGGCCATCTGCAGCACCCCACCTTCAGACGTTTGACCCCTGTTTTTACAGGGAACTCATGGTTGTTCACAGCCTCAGTGTTCCTCAGATCTGGCTTATGTGGAACCTCCTGCACGACCCCAGACTGAGCTGCCACAACAGGACTAGCCAGACATCCTTGCCCTTTAAGTGGAAGGATAAGATGGGTGAAAAGGTGGGAGAAGAGAAGGACTATGGTCAGAAACAGGTGTTTATTACGCATTAGCGACTCCCTGCAGGGCCGATTTGGGATCTGCAAGAGCCCCTAGTAAGGACGAAATGGTTAAAAAGCAGGATTATGGCCAACATGAAAGGCTTGAGGTGACTTCAAAAGCACAGTTGAGTCATATGGGACTTTATCCAAGATGGTAGATCATCTTTGGGGAAATGAATTGGCAAAGGTCTAATGTGCTTCAGATTTTTCAGTAAGGGAAGAGAAGAGAATTTGGGCTTTTGCCACCCAAGCCCATCTGTGTGATCACACAGTGAACAAGCATGCAGCAAGACCTTGATTTACATAGATTTTGAGAAGACTATTGAATGTGTAATCTTCAGAATGTATTGTGTTATAATTGTTTACACAGAGACACAGTAAGAGCCACGAGGACAACTTAACTGACGTGTGGTTAGCTGGTTTAACCCCATCCAAGCGTGAAAGCATCTGTGTTACTGAGACCTCAGCATTAGTATAATATACTGACTCACATCGGACTGCGTAGACAGCCAGGACTGGTGACGGCTGTGTGTACTGGGGGAGTGGAAAGACAGTAGAGACTTTTTTGTGTTTTCACCGTGATCACAGAATCACTGGCAGAGATGTTCTTCACTCCATGGAGCCGGATGCAGGCACAAATCGACAGTTAGATTACCTGTTCCCTGGAGGAACAACAAATGAAGCCTAAATACAAACCAGCTGGGACACACAGACAAAACCTTGATCTAATGTTTGCTGAATTTTTGAGTCAAGTATGTGTACTTCCATGTGAACGCTATTATTGAATACTATAATAACTTGATTTGTTTTGTGTAATTGTGTGTTTTTCGTTAAAACTCTTTGTCATTTCAAAAGCAAAACATGTGCACAGAACTAGACGGATCAACATGGATCACATTTGTGTGTCTTCTAGTGCGATTGTTCGACTTGCTCACGTGGTCTGGACTTCAGCTGGTGCCCTTTTTGCTATGCAGTTGCGTGGCTCTCCAGGCTGAAATATCTCAACAAGTATCAGATGGATTTCCATGAAATTTAGTACAGACATTCACTGAGCTAATATGGCAACATTAAATTCAACAAATTAGCACTGAATGCAAGAGAATGTTCTTATTGATATAATAACTTGGCAACTGTTTGCTCTTGTAAACATCATGTCCGAAATATAGCAATTGAATTGTATGTAGCCTACATTCAAGAAAAAAAAATCACGAGTGATATGAAGGTGAAAGAAAGAAATGTGCCTTTCGAGGCACAACACAAACTGTGAATGACAAAGTTTGAATGCGCACCGGATCATTTTGAATAAACACAACTTTTGAATACAAAAAGGAACTGTTACATTTGTCCCGCCATGGGTTGAGATTATTCCAGCTGTGTGCGTCACGTGTCTTTGTTACATTACTGGTGCCTAAAGTCGTCCTCAATGGATGCACCGGACTTCTTTCAACATGCTATGCAGTGACGTTTTTCTAAACTATATGAAGATTTTTTTTTTTGACATAATATAGGATGTCAAAAAAAGTAATAAGTCATAGTATAGTAACTATACTATGACTTATTACTTTTTTCGACATACTATGACTTTAATTATTTTTTTCAACATATATATTATGACATATTTTTCGATGTTGACTTTAACGTATTGTGCTCTTTTTTCGACGTACTAGTCTATGAATTTTTTTTGACATACTATACTATCACTTTTTCCCCCAAGATAGGATCAAACTCATCACATCACAGAAGCCACTGTTAAAAACGGTGGTAACTGAGCTGCCAAGTGCACAGAGCCTACTATATTGTAGCAGATCTCCATCCATCCCTTGACGCTTTAATCTTAGAGAATCATCTTTTATTTGTAAATTTTAAAAATCAGGATTTTTTTCTAGGAATGTTACCCACCCACCCACCCCCCCCCAAGCTCCAGAATTAAAATATGTTCTGACAATAGCTCTCATACGCCATTGTAGAGTTTCAAGGTTGCGTAAACTAAGAAATAAAAGCCTCAGTCTTTTACACATCCACATTTTTATTTATTTTTTAATATCCTGGTTGTACACACAAATTAATTTTGATGTCAATGAATAGTTGGCATTTCATTTCATAATAGTCACATTGGAGTTGTTCAAAGGTTACACAGCAGTAGCGACTCTCAACAACCGTCATCAAAATGCAGTCAAAAGTATTTTGCTGGAGCAAAGCTTTCAGTCAACCTAATTCTTCTCTATGCACTATATGGTTTTGTTATTGCCTTTTTTTCAGTGGACATGCTGAATAAATTGACTTATTTCTTCATACACAAAGTTATAGTATTCAAAATAGAAAAATGCCACATTCCAATGAATTTCACAGGTTAAGTACAACTCTCCCATTTCCAGAAATGGGTTCAAAATGTACCGATTCCACAAAAAATATTCTGAGGAGAATAAGTGACATGGGCAACAGAATATATATGATACCAAGAATAGACAATACAAACCATTAATATGAAATTACCATTGCACTGAACTGAACCCGTCCATTACAAATTACAACGATCCGGTTACGACAATCATTCATTCCTGCATTCAATGAAATAATCATTTTGTTTTAAAAATAAATGTGAAATTTAAAAGCCAAGCAGATTTTTCACTTGTTTATCTACCTTAAATTCTTTTAGAAAAACAAGGATGTGAAAAGTCCACCTGAATTTGGGTGAGATTAACTACCCAGCACCCCATAGCTCCTCCCTCGGTCTCTCAGTAACACTGCACCTCATAGCTGGGCTAAGTTTACCAAAACTGGGTTAATGAGTAGAATTGTTTCTCTTGTATTAAGTGAATTATATAATGTATGTGTGTGTTTGACTAAAATCATTGATCATTTATTTCCCTCAGGAGAATATTGCCGCTCCTGTTTCTGGTTTTTCAATTCATCTTTGAACCATCAGCTTCCAAATGAGCGAAACTCAAATCAGCACGGAGAGCTTTTGGGGAACAACCAATTTATATTGTGGAGGAAGACGAGGAATGGTTTTGCTTCAGGTCTTAAAGAAGGATTGCATTGCTAAAATCATGTATTCCTCAGTAACTAACTATGACGAGCTTTTAAGGGTTGTGAACACACATTGTTCTGTGTGTGATGTTAACATGCACACACCGTATACTATAAATATACACACAAACCAACTTCCTTGTCTTGGGCGAACCCAACCCAGCCTGCCATTCTCTGCAGGTAACAGGAAAACTAAAATGACAGACGGCCATAGTACCGTGTTAGCTTGTTGCTAATGCTCAGAGACACGCACACACACGTACTGTACAATGATGCAGTTCAAATGCATTCTCAAACTGTATGTACAATGAGATTCCTTTGTACAGAGGAGAGACACACAAGTCAAAGACGGGCTCGGTGGGAGATGAGGCACAATATTCAGCAGTTTGTTTCCTTGATTTTCTCGCATTTACTTGCACAAAAGCAAGTTTTAGTAAAATGAGTTTATTCGTTGGATTCATCTTGAAACATTAGCTAGCTTTTGGGATCCCAGTATAAGAAACCAGACTGTAAAACATTCATCTCTCCTGCTTCCCAAAACCCCCATTACCTCGACTAGGACACAAGTCTGGCTGCAGCCAACAAAATGCATTTTCTAGCGTAAACAAGTAGAAATCTAGCAACATGCCAACACTACACTCCAAATCAACCAGAGTTCTCTTCCAGTCCAACTGTGAGGAAGGTTTCCCCTGCCTGCATAAATGGAGATTTTTCATTTGAAGCTGTTTCTGTGGATCAGAATTTAACACTCTGCAGTAGCAGTTCAAGCAGAGCTGTAGCAGGGCCATCTACTGGCACACAACACTTTTGTGTACTTGCAGCCTTAGCATTGCACAATAAAAAAAGTTTCAATACTGAGTGGTCTGGAGTCAAAATAAAATAAAAACTTCCAGTGTTTGTTAATTGTTTTAAGGAGGAAATATTAAGACAAGTCAGTTGTGTCATTGCAAAGCCATTAGGATCACGTCAATGAAAGGACGCCAGACGAAGAGCACTCCGCTATTTACAGCATTTGTACATCAGCTAGAAGAATCAGGGCCTGAATAAAAAATAAAACAATTCTCAGAATAGCCAAACTAACTAACAGCACAGAAATTAATTTCTTCAGCTGCTCTTAAATCAGGTCTTCTCATGGTCATCTGTATGTAATAAACCTCAGGAAATAGTACTGTAGATGAAGGCTACTGGTAATGAATTGTAAAAGTCTTAATTCCTATTACAATGAATCAGAAATGTAGTCCGAGTACAGTTGTTCGGCTATTTCATGCGGATGCTGCTGGTTACGAGCTAACTCACACTGTGATGCAATCTGTTTCAATGAGGGCTGAAATCAATCAACCATCTGATTTAGTCAGTTGGGGTTGTTAAAGAAACAAAATAAAATGCCACAGTGAAGCCACTTTGAACACGTCGAAACTCATGACAAGATACGTTTGTGCCAATCTCAAAAATACTGCATTTCTGGAAACCAGCCTCGGCATTTGTATGCTCTCAACATTCTGTCACGTATAAGGGCCCCGACTTCAACCCTGATGCCTTCACACAAGCAATCATAACTTCAGCAATAGGAAGGAATAAAAAGACTCAATGGAATTTGTAACAAAGGACAATAAAAAGAGAATGTGTCCATTCAAATGAATACACAGTTTATTCAAATGCTTATGAGGAAAAATATTCCAAAATTCAGACATTTGGACGGAAGCAAATGTTATGATGAAGGAATGATGATGTTCTTCCCCATTTCCTAAATGGGTTTAAATGTACTCAATTCACAGAGGAATTCCATAAATTACAGCTCTCTGATAACAACAACAACAACAACAACAACTGTACAAGAGACTACTACTATTGCTAATGTGTCTCTGGCTGTAACCAAACCCTGATGAAAGACAGGCCGATTGGTTTCAAAACACACGCACAAGTCAGCTATTCACGTCTTGTGTTACTGTCATTACAGAAACCAGGAGCTGAATTTAGAGGCGTTACCGCGGCAATGACTGCAATGTGCAGGTTTGACATAAAAGACACACGAGAAGGGAGACAGCCAACAAACGACTCTCTCCTTAGGACAGGTGTAGACAAAAGAGACTACAGTGATAACGTCCGCTGATCAAATGAAATCATCCTGAATCGTCTTTGGCTGAAGCATTTGGCAATTCAACAATAGATGCAGACATTGCTGAGGGATGGATTTTTGGTGCATCGATCAGATGCAGAGTTAAGGAAGAGAGATGAGAGCAACACAGATGCTATGGCTGCATACACCATGCACCATAGAGGACCGGTCTTCTGAATAAATGTATGGATAAAAACACCACTAGCTCTCCGAATGTCTCCACAAATCCATCTCTCTGAGGATAGGGCACAATGAACCGATCACGTAACAAGGTGTGCATTAGTGCAAATGTCAAAAGAGAACACAATGAAAATGAACGTGATGTGAATGAACGAAGCAGGGCAGAGAAAAATAAAACGAGTCCTTGTCCCTCACAACATGCAGGATCAGATAAAAATAACAGGTTGCCAGTTTGTGCTTATAAGTTTCCTCTCATTCAAAAGCATCTGCCAAGTTCATGCAAATCCTTGCGTCATGCATGTCTCCATGTTAGTTTTGCACTTAGCTTTCACGTATTAGAAATACATGTTGGCATAGTGGTGAAGGGACTAAATATCTGTGTGTGTGTGTTTGAATTAAAGTCTGTTGAAATGTCAATTTGAAAAACAGCAGCAGCACATGCAGATGCTCATTTATCCGTGTGTAAGTAAGGAGACAGACACGTCAACATCTAGAGCTCCTGATAACAACAGCTGTGGTGGGTTAATAGTGTTTACTGCTGTGTGCTTGAGAGTGCGTCTCTGTGTGTTTGTAGGGCACCACTGAAGAAAGTCGGAGGACTAGTGAGTAGGACGGTTTAAGAGGGAGGCAATAATGTTGACAATGTTTGGACCGTTCTGCCTCGAGAGGCTTCACATCTGGTCCGCCGGCCCTTGTGGATCTTGTGTTCTGTGCCACATGTCTCTCCAAACCCCGACTGTGTTTCTTGGTTCTTGTCAGTCTGGACTTTCATGCTTTTTTGGTTAAAAGTCTTCTGCAGCTTCCAATGTGTTTGGCTCTGGTGCTTGTAGTTTGAATGTGTCCGGGTCTGGTTGAGCCAGTCGGGGCCTGGTTCTAAAGTTGTGGCAGGAAGACAGGCGGTACTGGTTGGGCTGGCAGTGTGGTTGGTTGGTGTTTATTCAGTGGGTCAAGCAAGAGTTTCTTTCAAGACTTTGGCCACAGCAGCTTACATAGAGATTTGTTGCAGATGATAATTAAATGCTGATCTTCTCACCACAATGTGATGGAGGTTATTGTCCAATACAGGCTGCCATTACATCTTACTGGTGGAACCATGCCATCCAAACTACAGTCTGGACAAACTGTTCTTCTGTGGTCCTGGACCAATCGAGTCACTGGGTGGAAACAGGAAACAGCCGAGCTCTACTTGAGCATAGAATTTCTTCAGCGTGTCAGTTTGCAGCACCACCGTGAATATTCCCACACAACCAAGACATCACTTCGATAGTTTCATTGCAAAGAATCAGTGGTCCAGCACTGCGACCATGTCACTAGATCCTGGTTCCTGTCTGGGCTGGGTTGACTGGGCCGACCGGGTGTGTCTGATTGGGAGAGTAAGTCTTAGGACCCACCAGGAAAAGTTGATAAATACCAGGTGTGACTTGGTTATTCTGGATTCTGGTTGTAGGTCTGTTCGATGAGTAGCATCTGAGCTTGGTATGGATTACGTTGTTGCTCTGGGTTTGGTCTGCTTGGTTATGAATCTGGCTCTGGGTTAGAGGTTCAGTCAGCAGAGGTACTAGACTCAGGACAGGCCAGAATGGGATGTGGTTCTGGTTACTTGTTCAGTGGGAACTACTACTGGACTCAGGTCGGGCTTGACTTGCGGTTCGATGAGCACCGTACAGGGTCACTGATGCTATGTGGTTATTCTGCATCACCTGAGGAAGAGGGAGACAGAAGGCATGTGTTACAATGGACTGGATTACAATCAAAAGGTTGAAGTAGTCAATGTAAAATGCATTGTCCATTACCAAGGCTTTGTTTCAAAAATACAGTTTCAAGCAAACTGAGGCAAAGCAGCAAAAAGTCTTTACTCAACCTATTTAGAGGTCACATTCTGGTCCACCTCTGACCTGTGAGTTTACACTATTGTTGTAATATCATTGCTAAAAATGCCAAATGTCAGCTTCAGAATTTGTTTTTGTTTTTTTTTCATGCATGGTACATTTTTGACAAGCTTGCAATGAAAAAAAAACACTGCCATAACTGTAAGTGAGTGGCTTTACAGACAACAGTATGTTGAAGTGGCAATGTCAAAGGTTTTCAATAAAATAAACGTTTGTTACGGCACTATCTATCGCCGGATGAGGTAATACAATGGTGACTGAGCCTGTGGCCCACTTCTACATTATTGCACTGTTTAGAGATTTGCAGTATAATGAATTGGGCGTCTGTGGCAACGTTCCTGGACAAAATGCCATATTGAGTTACTGCTAATAATTTAAGGCAGTCTTTGACCGCGGATCAGTTTGAAATATTGCAGGAGCAACGGAACAAGAACGAGCAGCCAAAGCTAGCCGTCAGACTGTTCGCAGACTCATGACATGTGCAGCATAAAATTAGATGACGGCTGCTCACTGAGTGACAGATTACCTGACTTCTTTATTAAAAACAACAATAGTTTGTTTTGCTGTCCCCAGTATTGTGTAAACCTGTAGTATTAAACCACATGTCCAGTAAATAAGGTGACGCCAAATCAATCAGGATTGAGTCTCTTCAGGATCGCCACACCAACTATGGTTTCACACGTATTGTACACACTTGAATGCTTGCTAATGCCACAGTGATATGTGTTCTGACCTCAAAGATCATCCTCTGCAGTCCAAAGCAGAAGGTAGAGCCGAAGGGGTTGGTGTTGTTGGCTGATGAGGACCTATCGAACACAAACATCAAATCAGAGCAGACACTCATTTGGATCATGTCCAAAAAACGTTTGCTATAAAAATGTTGCAGCGTGAATGTTATAATTGTTCAAATATGCTGACTAATTATCATTAAGTGTATGTGGGACACATTTAAAATAATATTATATATATAAATATGATCCATTCCATCTGTGTCGATGCGAGAGCAATGCGTTTGTACCTGTGGAGCACGACGGGTTTTTCCATCGGGTGACCGAGCAGTTCCTGAATCTGATCCCACTGACAGAGGAACAGGAAAGTTAACAGACAATTCAAGAGACAACTTCTGTGGCAGTAGACAGAAAGGCTTGTTTATCTACTGCCTGGTATCACAAGGTCCCAAAAACTGTTTAAAAACGGTTTATTAAGGGGACAACAACAAGACTCTGCTTGTCAAACGCTGTATCATCTTTTCACTAAAACTAGTGATCATCTCCAGAAGACTTTTCGTCAAGCTAATTTTGGGCATAGGATGTTTTAGTGGAAATCACAAGACTTGTATTATATGACTTCCTCTGCAGTGACATCAGAAGATAACTGCAGCCACCGTATAAAACCGACGTCATGATGTCCAGCTTTGATGGATATGAAACAAATGGTTTACTCATAACACGGAGAGCCGGTTTTAGAGATGCCAGAGAAAGCAAATGGTGAACTCAACGATACAGACACCAGGCCAAGACACCATGTCAGGTCGTTACAGCCCTACCATAGCGCCACCTTGTGAATTTACAACAAAGCACTAACCTCTGGCAAATAAAGTGTGTATAGAACTGACCTTGCTGTAGGTTGTTAACATGCAGTCCTCCGTCTGAGAATCGGCTCCTTCTAGAGTGCAGCGACACAAACACAGAGTAACTGGAGTTAGATGAGAGGATGAACATCATACTGTTCCCACTGAGACACACGTGGTTCAGTCTTTGAGAGATTTATGGCCCGATAAGTGTCTCACCTTTCTTAATGACGAGTGGAATCTTAAAGTCACATCGATGATATCTGTGATGACAGAAAAAACATGTTTAAAACCATAGAAGATGAAAGAAATGCTGCAGTACAAGTCGAGAAGTATGGGCTCACCTAATAACGTAATATCAGTTCTGGATGTAGATAATTACATATAGATGGTGCAGTATTAGGGTTGCAAAGGTTCGGTTGATTTCCAAACACATGCATAGATAATTTGGCACCATCCCAAAAACAGGTGGTCGAACGTAGAGTTCACAGTTTATATTTTGTTCACACCGTCTGCCAATCTTTGCTAGCTAGCTGTTACCATGTAGGATGTAGCGGGATTGGGGAGTTATAATTATTCTATTTCCATTCATTCTTTATTGTAAAACATTTATTTTACAAATGAGTTGTTCACTTTAAAGTTTGCACACAGTCCACACTGTCAAAGTACCTTCCATCAGTCACCACATGGCACATTGTATGTATTATATGGGAAATTGATGGATTACGTCCGTTTATGATATGGTAAAAGGTTTGTTTCTTTCTGCACATCAGGTAAATACAGCCAAAGACAGCATTTTGCAACCCCATGCAGTATTGCCAACTGAGGATGGAAGGGATCTGGTATTTACATATTGAAGTTGTAATGGCCGGGGAAGTTGGTATGGAGGACAAACTTCTTAACCAGGTGAGTTGCAGAGTCAAACAGGATATCCTGAAAATGAAGGAAACACAAACTTTAAGATTGCTTTGGCGTTAAGTGTTTGTCAAGAGCAGCTCATTACAGTCCTGTCTACTGCGAACAGCGGGGCGAGTAGAGACATCCCAACATGCATTCATTATTACCAGCCAGTATTAGAGAAGAGGCTTCAGCTTCTCGTTCAGAGGATCTGAACACCAACCGACAGGATATTTCAGTGCAATATGACCGAAACAGACTTCACACTAACCAGAAGATGAATGTAATGCAGTTCAACAGTCTTGCAATAAATATGTCAATGGACTTTGACTGGAGTACACTTATTATCGATCAACTAAAAATGTGACATTAAAGGGATGATTTAGGATTCTATGAAGTGTTTTCTACAGTAGATGGTGGTTGGCACGCCCTCAGTTTGGAGAAACAGGCAGAGATACCGGTAAGGAAACAGCGGTAGACCGTAGGAGCTGTAGGAGGTAAAACTACTGCCTTTTGTCAAAGGAGTCTGGTAGCTTTCAGGAGATTATAGATGGATATAAGTGTCCTGTCAGAAAGGGCTGTCTGATTGCAAGGTAAAGGGGAGAAAATATTCTCAATATAGCATACATAGATTTTTTTAGGTGGCTAAAATATGTTTGCAGCAGCACATTGCTTTACTGTCTTGCTGGTACTCCTGTCCGCTTCTCTGATCCTCTGTAGGCAGTACACCGACTATGGATAAGTACCTCATATAACCCCACCTCCAATAAGCTGGATCTTGGGCTCCTCACCATCACCAGCAGTAACACACTATGCTTCACCACAGCTTTGTCCGCTGTCATTTCTCTCCAAAAAGTACATCACCTTGAACAAGCTGAGTGCCCAACATCGTAGCTGTTATTCTAAAAAGTACATCAAATATTTATGGTATGTGTCTTCAAAAGAAACTATGACTTAATTCAACTTAAAGTGAATAAAGTGTCTCAAGAAAATCACAGTATGACTACAACTAGATTAAAAACACCATCACTGAAGTTATACAAATGTATGCACACAAACAAGCCGAGGCCGAGTTTACGCACCACTCCGAGGGAGAAGTAGTTGAAGAAGTAGTCGTTACATTTAGAAGGAACCTGCTTGTGAGGTGACGGAGAGTGGATCTTCATCTAAAATAAACAAGAACATATGAAGACGTAGAGGATCAATAGAATATACGTCTTCACTATTAATGCAGATACCAAGAAATGGTTTATCGCAGTTGACTACACAGTTACCTAATCCACTGTATAACATAAGTATTTCTTAGTTATGCTTTTCATATCACCAGGGGATATTTGGGCTGTGTTAATGCATATGGCAAACATTTTGGCAAAGGTGTCAGGCTTTTTGTTTTTATTTATCAAAATCAGCTTCTATAACTGTGAAGCCAAAATACAGACACTCAGACCTTTAAGGACACAAAGGCCCCCTCTGTTATCAATAGATTTCCTCTTAATGATTGATTTATTTCAGATTATTTTCAGGGCATAGTGAAGATAACACCAGTCGTTCAAACAACAACACATAGAATACTACAAGAAACAGTTCTTCTACCTTGTCCTCAGACTTGTAGAAGACTTTATGTGGCGAGCCCAGAGCACCCAGTACATCTTGACAGGAATCTCCAAAGTAGATGCTCCTTTCTAGGGACCTCACTTTAGCATCAGCCATCACACCTGGACCACAGCCTGCAGTCACATTACAATACAACAGGAAAGGAAACGATTTAATCCGCAGATAAATGACACAAAAACCAAAAAGTCAAATAACATGTCAGTGACATTGACTGTCTCCCTGAGAGTTGACTGTTGGACCAAATCCTTTTTTAAGTTTACCACACTGCTAGATTAAATACACGGTCTATTGGTACGTGCAGCTAAATATGCGTTTGTCCATGTTAGGGTTACATCATCTTAAACTTTAAATAGTAATACGATTAGTCTGCAGTGGAGGCAGCCAAATGTAGTGTGATCAATATGGCTTATATTTTAACAAAGAAATTCCAAATTGTGTTTATTGCCAATCTAAAAACATTTTTGGTTGCTGTTTAGCTCCAACTTTGCATCAGTGTTACAGATTGTAGAAAGTCTGGAGGCAACAGAAGGAAAACATCCTGTGAATCAAAAGAGTAGATTTGAGGACGTGTGAGGAAAACACTTTGGACACACGTTGAATATAATCATGGATCTTAGTTTGCAGTCCTCCAGACGTACACAGACACGGAGATATTTGTTACCTGCAGTGAGAAGGCGGAGTTTGAGCCCCAGAGGCCCGGCACCATCTCTCAGGACATCAACGCTCTCTGCAAAGATGTTACCAAGGAAACAAGCCAACGGCATCACGGGAGCCCTGACGACAGACAGTTCAGGTTTGTCACGCGTTACATTTTGGAAACTCCACAAAGTCATCCCACTTGGTGTTGTTCTCTTTGGCTACATTGGAAAATGTTTGCTGTATATTCACTGGGAGTAGTTTGAGGCAGATTTAGATGGAGCTTAAACTTCTTCATTGGTGTCTATTTTTAGAATAATACACCCTTTGGTAGAGGTATGTCCTCCATAAGTGATGTCTCGTTTGTGCATCTGCATGTGTCTGCATGTTACCTTGTTTCTTGCAGGTTGTTGCCGGTGTAGATGTGCATCCTCTTGACCATGGCCCCGTGTGGAATCTGCAGGGAGGCCAAACCCATGGCAAAGTTAGGCTGCCAAGGCAAAACAACTGGGAGTAGTATGGGGCTGCTACACACTGTGTTGGTGTGTGCACATTAACAACAATAGATGTTTTACAGAAATATATATTTTTTTGCCTAGGTACAGAGAGAAGTGATCATTCAGTCATAACACTATGACTGACCTCAATAAATACCCGTGTTCAAGAGGTAAAAAACTCATCACTGATTGGTCACAATGCATTTTAATCCAATTTGGATCTCTGTCGGGTAGCAACTTTCAATCTGAGAAGGGTCCAGTATCTAATCAAAATGGATGGAATGCAAACTTCATTTCTGTGCTGCTGATTATTTGTGTTTTTCCAAGTTGTATGCATCACCACCATACGAAGATATCACAGATATGTTGGAGCAGCAGAACGGCGAAACCAAAATGATGTGATAAGCTGCAAAAACCATGTCGATGGGACACAAAGTCATCTTAGGGAGAAGTAAAAACATCAATATGTGACGTGTGCTTTCACAGTAGCAAGCTGCAGACGAATGGAGCAGACGGCAGAGCAGCTGGTTCATGACATGCATCACTCAAGACATCCACAGCTGTACAGTACAACATCTGGCTAGTTAAACAAACCTCGATCCAAAATCAAATCCACAAAGGCAAAAACCTTTATGTGCTTTATGTGTGTATACACATGCAGCTCGCAGATTATGTGTTAAAATATGACAACGTCATACTGTCTTGAGAATCTGAATTTGAAGCTGCTGGGCGTCAGCGTTGTTTTGGAGAATTTAATAATGATCTGTCATAGTTCCTTTCAATGTTTCAGAATCTGTCCCAAAAGTTCCCTTTATCCGCGGGTGTGATGAGGATCACATTTCTAAGCGTTTAGGAAAACTGACATCCAAGAAAAAAATCTCTGTGCTTAAGATTCACAAGCAGAGAATCACATTATCAGCAAGCATGTGGTTTCTTCATTCAGTCCCACGTTATTAATCATCACGACATCAAGCTGACAGTGATTAAAGGACATGCTCAAGGCAAACATAAAGCATGACCTCACACGTTTCCATATAACGGGGAATCACTTGAACCACAAGGCTGCCTCATCTCCCCCGGGATGTGAGGAAACGACCTCTCAGCTCTCCCATATAACCGGCCGACAAGCAAGTTGATTCTCACCTCGTATTTTGGAGCTTCGTTCCACGAGTCCAGTTGGAAGGAGAAGGACAGCCCTCGAAAGTTGAGATGGAACAACTGCTCTGCAGCATTGTAAACTGGACGCAGACGAAAAGATTTAATGAGAGAGATAAACGAGATGAAGATGTGGGCTCATTTGTGAGACATCGTTAATGTGTTTAAGCCTTGTGAAGTACCTCCAGGGTGCGTAGCTCCAAACGACTGGTCTATTTGCTCTATTGTGGGGGCAATGGCCTGAGAGTTGAAATGGACTCCACTGAAACACAACACACACACAGCCAGCGTTACACCTATTAACATTCATACAGGATGTGCTGCATTAGCTGAGGAGCTATTGCCAGAGAATTGTGCACTGAAAGACAATCTCTCTCTCACACACACAGTTTTTTACAAAACACATTAACGCAGGCCGACTCTATTACTGTGACATTGTTCACTAAGTAGCTGTATATCTGAGAGGAGCTGCGACTTGTAGTTGAGAACTGTCTCTGTGGCAACATAAAATGACAAAATGGACACTGTAAACATGCAATGACCATTATATATATACATACACACATACATACATACATATACATATATACACATACATATATACATATATACACATAAACATATACATACATATACATATATACATATACAGTTGTGTGAAAAAGTGTTTGGATGAGTTGTCACTGCGCTCTTGGGGTAATTTTGGTCGGCCGGCCACTCCTGGGAAGGTTCACCACTGTTCC